ATCCTCCACATACATGAATACTTTCTTTAAAAAAATTGATGTCATCTCATAATATCTAATCTGCAAACGTACACTATTTTCAATTTCTCCCTATCTACTGGCTCATTCCCTACATGCCTACATCTTTCCCAACCAAAAAACATCCTCATTTGCTTCCATCTCTGCTAACTATCCTCCTATGTATCTTGTACCTTTTATAGCTAAATTCCCTGAAAAGATCAACTACAATAGGTGCCTCCACTTTTCTCCTTTTCTTCTTACCCCCCTTAGAATCTGGCTTCTGACCTTATTATTCCACCAAAACTGCTCTCTCTAGATTTACTAATGATCTGTTAGTCAACAAATCTGATGGCATTTTCTCAGCCTTCATTCTTGACCTCTCTGCAGCCTTTGACACTGTTGACCAGTATCTCCTCCTTGATAGCTCTCTTCTGTCTAGGTTTTGGGGATACCACTCTGTCCTGGTTCTCCTCTTATCTATTTAAACTGTCTTCTTTGCTGGATACTCTCCCAAATCACACCCTCTAGCCTTCTAACTGTAGATGTCCCTCAAGATTCTGCCCTAGGCCCTCTTCTTTTTTCCTTTCACTTGGTGAGTTCATTACTCCTATAGATTTAATTACCACCTTTATGCTGATGATTCTCAGAGCTACTTATTCTGCTCCAAGCTCTCTGCTGACCTCCAATCTAGGATCTCCAATTGCTTTTCAGACATCTCAAGCTGGATAGATATCCAGTAAAATCTTAAATTCAATGTCTAAAATATTATCTTTCCCCCTGAGCCTCCCCACCTCTGGCCCTGCCCAGCTACCTTCCCTATTACTGTAACAACACCATCTTCCCAGTTCCTCAGGCTCACAGCCTAGTCATCCTGGATTCCTCTCTGTCTCTCATCTCACCATATCCAATCTATTGCCAAGGCCTGTCAGTTTCACCTTCGCAAAATCTTTCCAATATGCCCTTTTCCCTCCTCTGACATCGCTACCTCTCTAACGGAGAGCCCAGCAATTCACACCTAGATCATTGCATCAACTTGCTGGTGAGTCTGCCTGCTTCAACTCCCTCCCTCCTCTAATCCATCTTTCATTTAGCCATGAAAATGATTTTCCTAAAGCACAAGTCTAATCCTGTCAGACCCTGCTACTCAATAAATTCCAGTGGCTCTCTGTTGCTTCTAGGATAAAATACAAAATGCTCTGTTTGGCATTCAAAACCCTCCACAATCTATCCCCCTCCTAACTTTCCAGTCTTCTTACACCTCACTCCCCAACAGGTACTCTTTGATCCAATAATACTGGCCTCTTGGCCAGTTTTCACGAACATTCCACTTAGTTTCTCAGCTCTGGGCATTTTCTCTGGCTGTCCCCCATACCGGGAATGCTTTCCCTCCTTTTCTCGTTTTAAGTCCCAAATAAAAACCCATCTTTTCCTGGAAGCCTTCTCCAACTGCTCTTGATTCTAGTGCTTTCCCTCTGTTAATTATTTCCTGTTTATCCAGCATATAACTTGCTTTATCTATACTTATTTGCATGGTGTCTCACTCTTAAGACAACTCCTTGAGTAAAGGGACTGGTTTTTGGTCTCTCTCTCTCTCTTTTTTTTTAATCTCTAATGCTTAGCACAGTGCCACATAGCAGGCACCTAATAATTCTTTATTGATTGGTTGATTATAAATCTTTTGCACCACAAGTTTTGTTTGTAATCCATGTCCTTTGGCAGCATTAACTGACATCTACAAATTCTGACAATACACTAACAGATTAACTCCTGGTTTAGCAAGAATGAATAACCTAGTAAATATTTGAACTCTACCAAATTGAATAATTTTCATTCTTCAGCATGTGTAGGAGTTGTCAATAAGAAATAAAGTGCACAATTTTTACCTAAATTAAGATTACTGACTGAATAGTCAGATATTATTTGGCTAAAGGATACTCTGAGAGAAATATAGATATCTAGTAAATTATGATTTGAAATTATAAAATATTATATATTTAAGGGGCTTAAAGAAACTTTGTTGGTTACATTCATTCTCATATGTTAAAAAAATTCCTTCTAAACAAGGTTGCATTTATATAGTTTCATCACCAACCATTTTGGCTGAATTTATACATTTTTTTCTGAATTGACTGACATTGGCTATTTCAGAATTATTTAGATACTGTCTTGGGAAAACATTGTAAATGGGAAAGAGGCTAAATTAAAACCATAATTGATAAACTACATAATTGATAAATTAATAGTAGAGTATACTATTAATGACAATTACATATATATGTGTATATTTATATATATATATATATATATATATATATATACGCACACATACACACACATATATACATACTTGTGTGTATGTGTAGATTTTAAAAAAAGTAGATCACTAGGGATTAATCCAATAGCTATAATTCTTGTCTTGCAATTTTTGTTCAATCTCACATTAAACTACACATAAGGTGAATACTATGGGTCAATTATAATAAACTCCAGTATGTTTAAGGCTAAGATGGAAAGGGAGTAAAGGGGCAACATGTATTTGGGCATGGCTGCCTCAGGATGATGTACTAATAGTGATTAAGGTAATGAATGGCGGTGATTCCAGTAGGCTAATATATTGGCGTATAGCTTGATGCTCTAAGTGTCCATTGCTCCTTGAATGTAGGATAGATATGACATTTCTGTTAGATAACTTTATTCAGAACAAACCATTAGAAAGACATTTTCCAGATGATATTTAGTCTTTCTAAAATAAGTGTTTTTCTTATTGCCCAGTGATGATGACTACTACTATTCACCCAGTTTAGAAAATAGTGAGCTTCTATGTCATGAGGGAAAAAAAGATGGAATACAAGAAGTACCATTCATAAATCATTGCTGCCACACTTGTGTAAAGAACTCATCCAGCTTACCTCGGTCAAATCAAATTAAATCAAGAAGCAGTAAATAGAACTATTTTCACCTACAACATATACCATCTCTCTCTCTCTCTCTCTCTCTCTCTCTCTCTCTCTCTCTCTCTCTCTCTCTCTCTCTCTCTCTCTCTCTCTCTCTGTTTACCAATAGGCACCTTTTTCTTCAGAGTGGAAAAAGAAAGAAAGAAAGGAAGAACTTGGAAACATACCTTCAATAAAACTCTAGTGACCTTCAGAAAGTGAAGTGCTTTTATTTTCCAATGTAGAGGAAGGGGCCAAAAGAAATGAAAATTACGTACATCAGAAAACTTATTTGAACATTCAACAAGGATTTTAAAGTTGTACTTAAAGCCAAAATTTAGATAAGAAAGGTATGTAGCCATTTGAGGTGAAATATGAAGTAAGGGGCACTTTTAGTATTACTTTTTACAAATACACATATTCTTAATGCCATAAAATTCTGCTCTTCATGTGGGGATTTACTTCATAGTAATATGTATTATTAACAAAAAGACTCAAAGCTGCTAGTGAATGGTAGTAATGCAGTAAGCAGGGGTAACAATTTCTAAACCATCCTTTGAAAACACAAATATTTCATTACAGCTCTAGTTGTAGTCAATTGATTTTTCAGTTTTACAAGAAAGATAATAGATTATAATAAATAAACTTATAAAATATATAAGCATTTGACTTGATAGAAAATTTAATTTGAACTTAAAAAATTATACACATGTTTATTAGCCTGATTTATGTGAATCACTGGGGTCTATGTTAAAAAGGAAAAATGTACTTTTAAACCCAAAAAAGAGTTTATTTTAAAATGAAAACAATCAATAAAGGAATATTGAGATCTCAATTCTCTAATTTAAGATCAGTGTTTCAATAAAAAAGTAAAATAATGTATTGTCACATATCTTTAACATAGACACTTTAAAAATACTTTGTTGTGAAATTTAGGAACTACTAGTTTGGAGCATAAAAATGCACAAAATACCTTTGTTGAAGATACTTTAGTTTATAAATGTTATATCTGTTTAACAAACAAGGGAAAATGACTTTTAATGGCCAAAAAAAAAGGTTTCATAAGCTATAGCAAAGTTGATAATGACCCTTATTTTTGAAAAATTACTTTCATAAGATTTAGCCTTGGAAGATTTTTCTAAGTATTTAAAACTTGGTAATTATAGATTTTATCCATAAAAATCAGTGCTTTTCTTTAGCTACATAGTTTTATAAACTACTGGACAAGTATAATTATATCTTTAAAAAATGACAAGAATCCTACTATTTTTTGCTACTCTACACAGGCTTAATTCTCATTACCCTCTGAAGAGTTTTTCTTCAAAAGGTTTCTTATGAAAGAGAAAGTGAGATTCAGAAGGGAATAGGGACCAACCCAGTTGTATTGAAAATTTGCCAGGATAATGAAATGGCAGAATTCTATGAAAGAGTTTTTTGGTTATTAGTAATATAGAGTATATAAACAGTTAAAGGTATAGTAAGGCATTCGCAACACAAGCTGGAGGGGCATATAGCTTCATGGCCCTTGAAAGTAATGCTTCAATTTCTTACCAGAATTTATGGAACGTTTTTGCATATACTGTACATCTATTTGCTATCGTCTTGTAAACAGTTTTTACACATGAATAAAAAACCATTTAAAGAGTTTTATGATGACATGTAGCAGATAATCAATATGCCAATAGAAATAACTACCATTCAGAAGAAATTAGGTATCTCCCTTAGAAGGCTAAGTTTTGCAAACAGAAAATATAAATATGATTCACTTCAAACATTAACTTTTGCCCTCTGCAAATATACATGAAGTTTAAGTGTTATGCTGTGTTTGCTCACTATCAAATTTCACTTGTTATTAGATAACATTACATGTAATCCATTACATGCCTTTAGAGGACACTACTATTCATAAACAGTCACATGCATTACAGTTAGGGTCACCAGCTGATGCATTATTACACACTGTTTTGCACCTCAAAATTAGAACCACTACAGTGAGAGTCACGCTTACAAATCTTCCTGGCTGAAGGAAAAATTAGCCCATGCATGAAAGTGACTAGCTTCAGCCCTCTATTGGGAAAGGGGTGATTTTAGGACTCTTGCAGCCCTTCCCCTTCTTGCGCACTGACTCCCGGGGTTTCTCCTTCTCCAGGTAGGGGCTTCTGCTGCAGCCTCAGGTTCTGTTTGGGGTTCCTCTTTGTTACTCATTTCTACTTCATCTTGAGCTTCTATTACTGCAATTACTACCTCAGTTGAGCTTTGTTCTTGACCTTCTGTTTCCTTCTGAGGTGCATTTTCTTTCTCCTCATTGTCTTCATTGGACATTGGAGTAATGTTGGACTGACAGCTTTCCTGAAGATAGTTACTGTGGCTGCTGGCACTGCCCAGTCGGCTGGAGGCCACCACTGCTTTCACTGCAGCCTGATGGAAAAGAGAAAAAGCAAGAGTTTTAGCTTGCTTTGAAAATGGATCAGTAAAGATAAGTCTGTTGTTAGGGAATGATGCTAGGGGTAAATATTCATTCGTTCTTTCAAGAAGTATTCCAGACATGAATCCAAATGAGTTTTTAAATATCATTTTGAAAATGAAAAAGTTAAGTAAGAATAATAACTTATATTTATGTTATCTTAAAAAGTGATCTGTTCGCAGCAACCCTTTGGAGTAGTTAAATGTTATCTCTGTTTAAAAGACGAGGATACTGTGGCTTAGAGAGGTGAAATGAATTGTCAAAACCTCCTTAAATAGCTAGGAAGTGTCAGGCTGCCTTTTCTTTAAAAAATCGTGAAAAGTTTTATTTTGCACATAACGAACAAGTAAAATGACCACCTCTCTATATAAGGTAGAATTAGAATAAAGAGAAGATTTAACATAAAACCACAAATCTCTATTTCTAACAGCTTGCTTTTCTTTTCAGAATATAATTAATTCAGCATGTGACTTTCAAAGTTGTCCTGATTTTCTGTATTTCCCTCTGACTTTCTTCCTGTTCTCTTCTGTAAATTTTTGGGAGAAAAATGTTTTAATGACTCTTTTTTGGCAATGCCATCTGTCCCAAGATCCTTCTCTTCCCAACTCCTCTCCCTACCCTTGCTGAACAAAACCAAACAAAACCTTTGAAACAAATACGTGCAGTTCAAGCAAAACAAATGCTAACATTTTCAATGCCCAAAAATATGTATCTAATTCTGAATTATGAGACCTTAAGTCATTCACAGTTGTTTTTCTTTACAATATTATTTTTGAATGAATGAGTGAAAAAGAATTTAAGTGCATTTTTAATTAACAAATTATGTGCACAGTTTCTGCTTTCAGAGAGCTCACATTCTAATGGAGGAGACAGTTAGAAAGGTACCATGGTCCTTAGGGCTCAGCAGCAAAGCAGATGGTAATGTGTCATCTTTAATGTTATTTAATATGATTTATTGATAAGATCATATTAGTCTCTGATATTGAATCTTTTGGCAGTGCCAAGGACTTTGCAGGTAAGAATTTTCTTTTCTGGAAGAAAGTTGCTGGTTCAGGAAGAAGTTGCTAGTCCATATCTCCATCAGGGTTACTTCCCTGAGCAATGGCTGTGTGGGGCTAGGCTAGAAGCAAGGGCAGGGATAGGAGTAATGGGTTGGGGAGGGTGACCACTACTCCTAGGGATTTTGGACTTACCTTGCTATCAGCGAGGTCTTGGTGGTGGCAAGAAATATAGTCCCCTCTCCATAGTGATTCATAGCCTCATGATGGAAACAGGACCTTCAAGGCTAGAGGTCACTACCATTCACAAGGTTCTTGGTTTCAGGGTTCTGGTCTATGTCTATCAGGGTATGAGGACAGGTAGTATTCAAGATAGTGGCTGAGGTAGCAGTAGTAGTGTGACCTATCTGGCACAAGCTGCCTCCTGTCTCTCCCTGAGGGTGCCCTATTGTGCAACTAGACTGGCTTTCCTGCCCCATAGGTGGCAGTTTATATTTTTGTATAAACCTCTAGGTTCACTCTGCATCAGTTCATACAAGTCTTTCTAGGTTTCTCTGAAACTGTCTATTTTATCATTTCATACTTCGTAAATCTGTTATGTTGACATGCTTTAATTTGGTTCAGCTATTCTTCAATTTATAGCCATCTCTTAGCCTTCCATTTCCTTTCTATAGCAAAAACTGTGTATTTTCCTTTTTCTTTTATGTCTTTAGCTATTTTAAATAGAATTTCTCTGTCTTCCTACTGAGTTTTGTTGACATTGTATAGAAAGGCCAATGATTTGTGTGTGTATGGGTATTTTATGTCCTACACCTTTGCTAAAGATTTTTATTGTTTCAATTAATTTTAGTTGGCTCTCTAAGGTTCTCTAATCAGCTCATCTATATAAATAGCTTTGTTTCCTCTCTGCCTATGCTTACTCCCTCAATTTCTTTTGTGCATGTGTGTTATTGCTATAGCAAGTATTTCTAGTACTATGTTAAATAATAGTGATTATTCTGGACATAAATTAGAAAAGTCTTTAGTCTTTTTACATGATATATAATATTGGGCCTTGGATTTAGATAAAGACTATTTATCATAGTACAGAAAGGATAATCTATTTGCTTTTTGGAGTTTTTAACAGAAACCATTTTGAATTTTATAAAAAGCTTTTTCAATATCAGTTGATATATACATGTAATTTTTGTTATTGTTATTAATATTTTCTAGTATGAATATAGTTTTTATGTATAACCAAATATGAATTGCTTTTATAAATACAACTTGACCATAATACATACCCCACACCCAAACACACACACACACAGACACACACACACACACATGCACACACACACACACACAATCTTTCAGGTATATCATTGTGATCTCTATATTAGTACTTTTATTTTGTTTGCATTGATGTTGACTAGGTCTATAGTATTTTTTTTTTGTATTTTCCTTCTCTCTGATTTAGGCATCAATACCTTATTTGTACAATAGTGTTTTGCACAACTCCTTATTTTTGCATTTTATGTAATATTGGAATAATTATTCTTTGAATGTTTGAAGGAATTAACTTATAAATCTATCTGGTTCTCCCTTTTTTCCGAGGGAATTTATGGATTGTTTTTTTCTCAAATTGAATCAAAATGTCTATTTCTCATTCTATAGACCTAGTATTTTATATTTTCTAAGTATCCATCCATTTCATTTCATTTTTCAGCTTTATTCTCATATAATAGGCAAAATAATTTTTAATAGTTTCCTTTATTTTATCTTTTATCTTTGTAAATTCTTTTTTTTTCATTTTGATAGCATCAATGTAGCTTTCATTATCCTTAGCTAACTAATTTTAGTTTCTTTAAAGCTTCTAGTTTTATCAATTCATTTCTTTACTTTCAGTCTTATTAATCCCTTATTTGATATTTAGAATTTCAAATTTAATTTTTAGATGCTTTGCTTTTCTAGTTTATCTTCAGTTGAATTGATCTGTTCTTTTTCTTTATTTTTTTTTGTGTTAATAAAGGCATTTAGAGATATAAATGCTTCCTAGGAACTATTTTAAAATTTTTTGTATGCTATCTAATTATTGTCATTTTATTTGCTGACATTTTCTAATGCTTTGTTTTTGTTTCTAATGCTGTTTTGTTTTTGACCCAGAAATTTTGTAGTATTAAGGTATTTGGTGTCCAATTAAAATTTTAATCCTCTTTTCAAAGGCATCTTTGAACAGAATTTTTTGTGTGTGTGGTTAGTAAAAGATTTTTTTGGTGAAGCAGTTGAGGTTAAGTGACTTGCCCAGGGTCACACAGCTAGTATCAAGTGCCTGAGGCTGGATTTGAACTCAGGTCCTCCTGACTCTACAGCTAGTGCTCTATCCACTGTGCCACCTAGCTGCCCCACATTAAAGGAATTTTTAAAATGTTTCTGCTATATTCGTTTTTGAAGTTCTTAATGCTCTAATAATTGTTAATTGAGTAACAAAGTGCAACAATGCATAACTAAGAAATATGTATAATCCTTTATTTGCCAGAGCTCTATCATATTTAACTTTTCTAAAATTTTATTCAAGTCCTTAATGATTTTTGATGATCATCTCATAAGATTTGTCTAGGTAAGAAAGGGATACATTGAGATCCTCACTATGATAGTTTTGTTGTGTATTTCTTTCTGTAATTCAATCAATTTTTGTCTTTAAGTATTTGGATATTATCCTATTCCATGTCTATCTATTAATTATTGATTTTGATTCATTACAATGTGGTCTCCATTTATATCTTTTGTATTAATTTGTACTTTTGCCTTATGTGAGATCATTGGTTGCTAGACCCGCTTTTTTGAGTTCACCCTTCTGTATTACATTCTGCTCCAGCACCTTATCTTAACTCTGTCAATATTTATATTTTAAGTGTTTATGTTATAAATGACGTATTGTTGGGTTCTGCTTTTTATCTGTTCTGTGATCCTCTGTCATTTCATGGGTGAGTTCATTACATTTATGTTCATAGCTCTGACTGTTAATTGTGTTTGTTCCTTTATGCTATCTTACTACATTTTTCCCTATATTGCACCCTGTATCCTTTAATGATAAAGAAGAATAAGATGGTGAAAGAGGATTATGCTTAATACTAATGATCTCTAATTGAGATGGCCTGTTTCTATACTGCTACTCTTCTCTTCAGCTCAACCTCCCCTCAATCACTGGTTTTTACTATTTTTTTCATGATTTAAAATTCCCCCTTCAAGGTCTAACCTCACAGTGGAATTTGTTTTGCTCATAATGAAATTCGTCATGAATTTTCCTTTCCCTCTTAACTCCCTCTCCCCTATCCCTGTGCTTTCCTATTTTCCTTCTGAGTTTAATGTATTTTTAAACCAAACATCTGTATGTATGTGTGTATGTATGTATATGCATGTGTAACCATATGTTGTGTGTTCAAGTTTTTGTGTGGTTCAGAAAAAGTCAGGCTGATGTGATGCCCATTCCCCACACTTCTTCCTCCATGTTTATATGCTCTTTATTTAGTGTACAGGTGTGAAACTTCCTCCTTCTTTCTTCCTTGCTCTCCCTTTTCTTTCTTCTCTTTGGACCATCAGAACAGAATAAAACCACCTTAGACCCTCCATTTGCCTTATGATTCTTGAAGAGATTGGTGCCCTGAAGGCACATTTATTTCTTCTCTTTATTAAAATGTAATTAGTTTATCACTAAATAGGTTCTTCCAAATCAATATGTGTTTCTATCTGGTCTTTTCATTAGGAATGCTTGAAATTCTATTACATTAAAGGTTACTTTTTTCCCCCTGTAGGATTATACTCAATTTTGTAAGATGTTATTCTTTTTTGTAAGCTATTGCCTTTTGGAGTGTAATATTTTAAGATCTCTTCTCTTTTATACAGTGATAGCTGCAAAAAATGTGTGATCCTGACTGTATTTCCTTTGTCCTTGAATTCTTTCTTTTTGAGTGGTT